AGTGACTGTGCTTATCATTTTTACATTTCAAGAAGTTCCAAAGGTGTGCCACGGTCATTTTGTTAGGGACGCTACAGAACACAGAGCTGAGCAGCTCTCCCTGTGACGACACCCAGCAGACTTCTATCCACCCAAGCTAGCGCTGAAGAGGAAAAAAAAAATCTGTTTTACTGGACAGTTTCGAAGTGACTCTCTACTGAGATAAATGTTTACAGTGAAAGAAAGGCAATTTGATCTCTGAATCCATACAGGAGATTCCAGCACATCCTGGACACGTTTCACCAGGGTAAATCCAGAGCTTTTTATTCAAATCGAACCCATTTCAACAATGAAACCCTTCATGCCTGCGTAGTAAATCATTGTCTTGCTTTAACATTGAAATACTTCTGTGCTGAGAGCCTCTCTGGGTTTTCTGAATAAAAACAAATAAACCGTATTTACACATTTGTAGTCTGTCCACAATCCAACAGCAGTGCAATTCTTAAAACATGCAATTTAGTCAGTATGAGTGAATAGACAACCCCATCGAGGGCTCTGCTTATAAAGCTGTATTTTTGGAGCTCACTTGAAAGGGCAGCCACTCTAACTCATACTCAAAGATGCCCTTTCTCCAAACAGTTCATTCGGTGCTAAATGGGAAATACCAGCAGTCCACCCCACTCTTCTCAAATACTTCAGTCGTCGCCGAAATGTTTCCTGCTAGAGGGTTAACTTCCAGTTACCTCCCATGGCCTGTTTCAGACAAAGTCTGAACTTTCGATGCAACATAAGAATCAAAACAAACTTTGCTCTTTGTGCCTAAGCCCTATCAATACAGGAGCCGAAAGGAAACATCGCAGCTTTCACCTCTCACGCCTTCTAGGCTGCATCCAAATCCATTTTGGTACATAATCCCAGTCCGCACGCTAAAGACCGTGTATACTTATACAGCTAGACTTGCAAATTTAAGAATAACTGTTTAGGGAGTAAAGGAGGTATTTCTTACAATTCAAAGCAACTGGGGAATATAAAAGCAAAATATTGGGGGAAAATTAGAAAGAAAAATCTTAAAATGTCCCTTATGTACAAATGACCCACGATGCCACTTTGAACGGGGACAAATGAGACGTCTTTATCAGGGTTGTGACCGAGCAGGCACCAATACATTCCATGTAGCAGAATTAAATGTGCTTGTGAGCTGTAATTAAAAGTCTGAACGACATCGCTTTTCACGGATGTGAACAGATCTACCAGGAAAAAGTACAGAGGGATGTTGCTCCCAGCTAGTCTCAAAAAAGTATCTGGTTACCAAAGAATTACTTCCTGGCCTACACAGAGAGACATTGCAATTCCAAAATATTAGGCTGCCCGCAGAGCCCATCCGTACTGGTAAAACGTGCGTGTTTTTGAATTGACACTACTACTTACGTACGCAATTCGAGTACAGCCATTGCATACAAGTATATACTACACTACTATGTAATTTATTCTGACAGCTATTAGAACTGTGGCTACTGTTAATCTGCCTTTCAAAGTGCAGTCACAGCATCAATTAATTTGGGAATTACTGCAAGTTGTGTTATAGGAAGATCATGAGGGATTTTTTTATTTTTTTTTTTTTTACCTTGTGTAACCTTGCTGTGTAGGGTGAGCTGACACAGCATACATTCCTATAATTAAGGCAACTGCATGAGTGCTGAAAAACTCCTACAAATATTGCATATAAATAAATCATAGGCTTAAAGCCAGAAGGAACCATTAAATGATTTCCTGTTAGTTCATGTCATTATATTTCATTAAGTTCTAATGTGTCAAACCCAGTAACTTATTAAAACAAGCTACCTTCTCCAGAGGTGCAATCATTTTTTGATTTGAAGACAGAGACGGAGAACTTGTTACCTCCACAAATAGTTTCTTATAATGAGGGAAAAAGTGCAATCTTCCTGTTAAAAACGTGTGCTTTTTTTTTTTTTTTTATTAACGTCAGGTTCAGGCTACTGGTTCTTGCTCAGCCTTTCTCTGCTGGGACAGAGAGGCCTTTGGTAGTTTTTCATCTTCAAGATACACGTATGTTACTCAGTCTTCTTAATGTAATACAGTCTTGCACAACCTTTTCTCTTCTGCTGAATCATCAGTGGTTCTGTGCCTTACCCAATATTTCAACATCCTTTCCGAAATGTGTGCAATCCTTCCTTACCTAAATAAGGCGACACAACCATGAAGTTTTTCCCTGCTGCTCATTTTTCTCCCATTTAGGCAAGAAACATTTTTGTGTCTTGGCTCACAATAAGAACAGTTATAATCTTTAATCCTCTGTACGATAGTCTCCGTATTCCTAGAATGAGCCGTTTTGGAGACCTTTCAAATTCTGTGCTCCTACATATATAACCTGGCATTTGGTTGTATTGAAATGATACAAGTCACACATTACTAACTTTAATTAGCAAAAAAAAGCTAATCAGTCTTTGGAGTAAATGCCGTTTTTTTGTTTTCTACCCAAAAATTGTGGAAGAAATTTGACTAATACAGGTCTTGGAACCTTTCCCAGGAAACCTTTTTGGAAATAGCAATAGTTCTTTACTAAGACATCTTAAAGGGTAGTTGTCAGTGGTAGAAAGCACTTAGCTTTTTAAAGCAGTTCTTGGCTTGAAGGTCCACATTTGTTTTGCCAACATAAAGCAACATTTCACATGATTACATGATGTCACACAGAAAGAGCATGGACAATACCTTGCACTTCCTGCCCTTGGACAAATATTCAAGCTTCCAAATAGAATGGATTTACAGATCAGCACTACCATAATTTTGCCCACCACCACCCCCTCGAACAGGAAGGGTTCATAGCCAAGTGACACATTAAGAATGAAGTTCAAGCCGCACTTTGATTTTGACACACCAGCAGATGTATTAGGAATGTTGTAATTTTATTCTGTTCAGTCTTTCAAGTAGTAAGGAATACTGGCACGGAAGACAGGAAATTAAACATTTACAACCTTCTTCCCCTAATACGTCCTCCCAGTCTTACAAACCTGAATGTCAAAGCCTACAGTCTTTATCCAGACATGCTTCATGGCTTTCAAGTGAGGAAAATGTAATTTCATAGGCAAAGCTTTAGCTTGGAAGAGTTGAAAATAAACAGAAACCCGAATAAGTGGCTAATACTTCATTACGTAGCAATTTTAACCGTGGTAGCTTTGATATCTTATCTTCAAACCAGTAGCATGTTATTTCACATACAAACTCACTTTAATTAGCTAGACTTATTTGAGAAAGTACCAGTTCACCAAGAGTGAGATTAGATGGATAGCATTATTTAATAACCTTCCCCAACTGTCCACATAGCATCAGCACCCAAGCTGTTCATGAATCAGTTTCTGAACAATTCAGCATTTTCAGCTAAACTAATCAGTGCAACATACTTTAAAACAGCCTCTTTAAGTTGTAGTAGTAGTTGAGCATCTAGGTACAGACTCTCAGCCACCCACACTGAAGTCTGTTTGTGATGAATTTGACCTCAAGAACACACACAAAATAAAAGCCACAGTACAGGACCATGAGGGACAGCAAGCTTGTCACAAAATGGATGCACAACTGAAGTGGGCCTTGACTTCTTAAGGGAATTTCCCCTCCTGCGTTGCTTTAGGTGGTGCTATAAAAACAATTCTTTCTCCAAACCTTGACAGCACAAAGACATCTTTTGCTTATCTACCTCTCCCAAACACTGAATGAGGATCTCCACGGCCATTACCACGTCCAAAAGAAACGGCCTGCTTTCATACACTAAAGTTCTTTTCAACAGGAAAGGACGTGCTGGTAGGCTACAGGGGTATACTCCAGAAAGACATTCTGCTTCTGTTGCATTTAACAAGGCAGGAAAGGTACAGCAGGAAATAGAGGCACTGAAATCCCTTTTCCAATACAGATCTGCTCTCAGTCTACAAGGTGGACAAGATCTGCTGACGCTACAGTAAAAGCATGAATACTCACAATTATAAACTGGGCTGAAGCCATGTTGTAACCCTTTTCATGATTTCATCTGTTTTCTAGAATTGTGATGTCCTGATGTCTGGTATGAAGATAAACATCACATAGCTGGAGTTATATTTATCATGTAGCAACTAGGCACCTGCTCTTCCACCCCAATTTCAGTTACAGTTCAGTAGCAACAACTGCTGTAGCAAAAGTTGACCATGATTTGTTGGTACATGACCATGATTTTGTTTAAAGCTACAAAGACAGATAATATGGCGGATAAGGAAGATACTAGATGCCTTTTATTATGGCTGCTTCTGTGTGTTAAGATAGAAAGGAAGGGGACAAGAGGATGACACTCGATAGCGTAGTATTTCCCTCCACCCCAAACATTCAAAACAAGTGTAGATGTTGCTGGTTCTTGCAGATGAGTTCTGTAACAGGTTCTCTTTTTCCACCATATTAAATCAGTCAGGTTTGTCCCAGTTAGGTTAGAACCAAGCAAAGGGAAGCCATTTTAAAGTAGTTATACTGTCAAGGGGAGAGTCGGATATAATACACTTTGGTACATGATTTCTATACATGGCCTTTTTCAAAGAAAATTTCCAGTTACATCCTGAAGTGCCTAAGCACCAAAACAGTAATCATTTAAACCATTTTAAAAGATGCTTCTCACATAGGAAAAGGTCAGTCAAGCAATTGAGATCTTGAACTAGATCCTTCCATGATTATTAATTTCATTATAACCATATATGTGGTTTATAATACGCTCCAAATAAAGGTGACCCCTACTACAGATATGGAGGTAAGATGAAGTCATAAGCATATTCCTGATACATCAGTCATCGTGTACTTTCTATGTCAGTCTTATCAGGTGCCATCTCTCAGCTGAAACAGCAATATAATCTCGCACGTTAGGAATGGCTCATGTACAGTGTTATGACATTAACTGCAGATTTCCTCAAGCCTTCTGTCACTGGATGCCAGGAAACAGCCAGGCAGGAGCTGCTCTCACACAGGACTATTCCAGCCTAGCAACGTTCCATTCCTAAAACTAGGATGCCAGCTAATACCTCAGCCTCAACAGATCCGTAGTTCATTCTCTAAGCCATAGATTTTTGCTTTTAAGTTTTTTAGTTCTCCTTGAATTTTACGGGTTAGTCTGTTTCCTTGGCGGATCTCATGTAGAATTGCAAGATCCTGGTCTGGTCCGATATTCAGAGTCACCTAAAAAGCAAAAGAAAAACAGATTAAGAAAAACAAAGCTGTACAGGATACAACTTGAAAGTATTACGATGAGGATATGAGGCAAAGAACTCTAAAAGAGACCCTTTGTACCTAGCAAAGAGGATACTTAAGCTAATATCCCTAGACTAATGCATATCACCAATACAAAGGTGCTCCAGAAGCAAAAATAAAGAACAAAGCTTTCATACATTGTGGTGTTATATTACTGGCAAGGAAGAAATCTAGATAGAATATGATCGAGTTTACCCATAACCTGTTGACTTCTTTCTAATTCCCATATTATTTAGAGACCCACAAAAAGAGGCAGGTTAAAATATTTATCAACTAACTTCTATCTAGTTCTAAGTACCTCACCTGATATGATGACATTTTGTCATCTTTTGCTACTAGAACTAGAGGTGGTTTAACTGCTGTGGCCACCCTGCTGCCTTCTGAACTGCATATGATTGAAGAGCAGTTCAAGTACAACGTCTAATCTCAGGCCACGCCACGTGGCCCACACTGAGCTGAACAAAGGCTGCTGGATAATCAGAATTCCTGATGGCAAGCTAGCCAGGGCTGCCATTTCCTGTCACCCTGGAACTGGACAGCATGCCAGCCCGGTCACTTTCAACAGCAGAGCAGCACAGCCTTGGAAGCTGCTCTCAAAGCCCTCTTTTCGCTCGACCCTTTAGGGTGTCTCATTGTCATCCTGTAGTTCTTGGTCAAAGATTTTAACATGGAAATCGGGAAATGTAATCATCTGTAGTCATTTTGACCTCAACTGATGAGAAGGATTTAAAGATCACTCGGGAGACTTCTAGCAAGTATTTTGTTCCTCTGCCCTCTTGTGGTTAAAAGTGTAAAGAAATTAAGAATACAATTAAGAGCACACCCACAGTTAGAAAACATACAGGTCTGTAGAAAGGTATCGTAGACAATTTTTCCCCCATTCACATATGCTGTTTAGTCCTTAAAGAATAAAGTTTAAAAACCTACAGCCCAACAAAAAATTAAAAAAAAAAAAATCGAGGCCTTTAGTGAAGACAAATGCGTTAGTCTAAGTAAACTGTACTGTGCGCCAAAGTACAGAAAACAAGTGAATCGGTGGCACTGACAGACTCCTGAAAGAGTCAGTTGGATAAAACCTATGCCTACATCATCCTCTCAAGCATATCTTAGATAAATATCTCATCCTAAACTCCAAGCAAGATCAAGGCTGTGGCTTCCCTTCTAAGCTGTCCTCATGTTCATCTACACATCTGGAAGCTACTACAGAGGGGACAGCTTCAGATTCCAGCCGTTGTTTCTGCAGTGATTTTTGCAGAGTTACAAAAGGAGATATTAACAAAGGAATGAATAGAATATTCACAATACTTAAGTGAGTGATCTACCTCTTACTGGAACAAAATCAAACACTATGGCCACCAGAAAGAAAACAAATCATCATTTTCTTTGCAGGATATACTTCTGAAACAAACTACTGCCCTGAAATTTGAAGACAGCTAAGTGAGCTACAGGTATCAGGTAAGAACTTCCAGAGTTGCAACAAAACCACACAGCTAATGTATAACCAAGGCAGTTCCTGGCAAGCTTGATGCCTGACTGATTAGCAAAGACAAATCTTTTTTGCTTCATAAAGCACGTAAGAGGGCAAGTTTTGTCAAATATTAATATCTAAAGGAACGCTTAGGAAAGAAATTATTTCCTTAACTCTAGGGAAATATTGCATTTAAATACTTACAATACACCTCTATAGGGTAAGCCCATAATAGTCTGCCCCAGAAATGCTTAGCTATTACCTTAAAAAGCTGCTTCTCTACATCTTTCAGCTCCTGCCGAAGCTGTTTAATGTCATTCTTGAAGCCTTCCACTTCCATATTACGACGTTTTTCCAAGGCCTCATATCGCTGAGTCATCAGCTTCAGGCGCTTCCCCATCTTTTCTGAGCGTTCCTATGGAGATGAAAACTCAATAGGGTATACAAAAGAAAGGCTGCAAGATCATCACATAGCTAGCGGATGATTACAGACTAATTACCTTAAAGAGTTCTCTGCCAGCATCTCCCTCCTCACGAATCCTAGCCAGCTCACCTTCCAGGGTGACACACTGTTCTCTATACATGTTTGATAGGTGCTGCTCCTGCATTAGCTGTTCTTGCAGTGACTAGGGCATAGGAGGAACAGAAAGGATCAACTCAAAAGCCAGTGCTCATATAATTTCCCCTGCTCTGGAAAAGCAAGTGTGGTAAATTGACAATATGACAGGAAAATAAGAATTAACAACTGGAGATACAGCTAATGAAATAACTAGGTAAGGACAATATTCTGACACCACTTCCATTACCAAAACCTTTTCATTAGTTCTGCATGACTGCTCATGATCAGTTAAAGAACTCTCTCCTCTTCCCCTTAAAAATAATATTCAACTAATGTTGTAATTCCCCTTTTCACAGTTGTTTTCCCAGTACCGCATTTCAGAAGCATCTGTGTTCAGTGGTAGATGAAAACAATTCCCTATTGCCTGTTTACTTTCCAACTCTTATTGCCTGTTTACCCACTTCAGATCTCCCAGCTTCTCCCTGGAAGTATACTAGAAGTGCAAGAAAAATCCTGACTACTGTAGAAGAGCTGGGGACATCAATTGAAAGGACTTAATCTCCCCCGACAGCAGCAAGGAAGACACAGATGCTGCATTCTAAGTCCATTAGCTGAGGGCATTTGCACGAAAAGAAAGGCATGTGCGACAAGCAGGTTAAGAACTGTGGGCCCACATATCACATAGCTTGCAGAGGTAGGGATTTGTTCTGGGCATAAAAGAAACTGACAGTGAAGTGCTACCATAAATCCTAGCTATACATTTTATCTGAAATTTGCAAGCAACGCTGATTTTGAGGCAGGAGAGGTTTTTTTTACATTAGTGCCAACAATAACGTACAGCTTTGAAAGAGCTGCTAGCTGCTGCCTATCTTGGCAAAACCCAGATGCTTGCAATTTTCTAGTAAAAAACTGTTTAAGACCCTCTACCTAGGACAAAAAAAATTACCTTTATTTCTCTGCTGTGGAGTTTCCAAGCTCCATCATCTGCTCGAAGCATCTTCTTGGTATCTCTCTGCTTCTTCTCTCTTCCTGGCTCCCTGCTGATAAGCTGATCCAGATCTTTGTCAAGTTTCCTCAACAGACTGTCCTTCTCTGCCATCCATGCTTTCTCATTGGCTCGGGCATCAAACTTGAGCTGGAGAAAGTCACGAGTACTCTCATATAAGAGATTTTGGGTCTTATGGAGTCTGTAAAAAGGGATCCCAGTGGAGTTAATTATCTTTTCCTAGTTCCTACCTTAATTTCCTCAGTCATCATCACAAGTTGGAAGAAAAAGATAGGTGCTTTCCTAAAGAGATTAGCTCTTCTCATCTAATGAAAGAAGTGATATTCTTCCAATGTGAAATAGGATTTTTAACATATAGATTACTCCATTCATCTTCTTCCACACACACTACCAAACAGATGGCTGCATAATTTGCTTTTCTGCCTGCTGCAGGAAGCAACCTGCTGAAAGCCAAAATATTTCTGTTGTTCCCCTCTCTTCTCATCTCATGACTACATCATGGTCATTCTCTCACACTCACTTATCTGTTATAGTTTTGATCTTGTCCTGGTCCCTCTGATGTTGGACCTGGGCTTCCTCCATGTGAATCCGCCTGTCCTCTAGTAGTGCCTCAACCTGTTCCTTGGATAATCGTGTCTGTTCTTCTATCTGAGCTTGCAGAGCCTCCACCTGAATAAGCAAACAAAGACATTACTGAATAAGACCTCATAGAAGCTCTGCTCCCATCCTTGCCAAGTCTCTTAAATTCCAAGATTCAGATCAAAGACTCTACCCAGTAACACCTAATTTCTCAATTTTTTATTTTTGTTTTAATGCAAAGTATTTCAAACAAATAAAACATTTTAAGAAAAAAAACATGCTATAGGCAAGACAGGCATATTATAAGCAGCAACAATCGATCGAAGATACTGGGAAGATTTAAATCGCACACAGGATGTCACAAATCCCATGGAATACATAGACACTTCTGTCCCTATGCTACCATCTTCCAATGACGTGGTGATAGAAAAATACCTAAACTCTAGGAATGCAGCAAGTCCACATATCTTGAACAAAAGAAATTACTCAACCAGAATGAATTACTAAATGTAAACAAGATGAGTGAAGGAGAGGGATGCAAAGAATCTTGATCTAGGGCAGGTAGTCAGGGAGACATATTGGAACAAGTAATTGAAAAACGTGCGTCTGGCCTATGTGTAAGAAACTATCTGAAAAAACTTGGCGTGTATTCAGATCGCTTATTTTTACGACAATTTTGCATGATGCTTTTGGTCCAGAATAAACGTTGTTAGACAGCTCACTGGCCACTAGGTCAGTCACCACTGCCCTTGAACAAAAAAAAAAAAAAAAATCATCTACTGTACAAGTTTGCTCCTTTAATTTGCTTTTCTTGACTCATCCTTCCTCATGCCTTACATACAGCTTCTGGTATCTTCCCCAGTTCATGATTCTGTACATTTTATCTTCCATTCTGCCATGCTATCTACACCCTATCTTTCACTGACATCTAGCAAAGGAAACATTTCATTGTACTACCGCATCTTATCGCGGCTGCCTAATTCTATCCCAGACACATTGTTTTTGTCAGACTTCCACAAAATACCCAACCCTGCAGATCTTCTGTGGGTTTAATGTAAATTCATAGCCACAATCAAATTATGGGAGATAACATCAATTACACATTCTATATTTAAGGGCAACACATTCCAGTTGACATTACTGGAGCATCTGCTTATGTAAAGCTTCCAGAATCAGACCCAAGTTCTTAAATCTAAGCCTACACTCATCGCAAAGAAACAGCTAAGTAAACCAATAGAAAATGGGAATCCACAGTAAGATGTGGGGACTGATAAAATTGGTATGTCTACATCTTATCTAAGCAGGGAGCATATTTGCCTATCTTAATTTCCTGGACAGCCAGGAATTACGTCCATCAGTTAGCAAATGTTTTTACCTGAAGTAGAAGTGTTTGATTATCTCTCTGATATCTCTCAGGACTTTCTGGTTTCTCTCCTTTTGCTGCTCGTTTTGAAGTGCTCCTCTTGGTGCCTATTGCAGAAATTTAACAGAAGTAGAGAAGGATTTTCCAATCTACCTGCAGTACCTTTCCAAGCATGAAATATTTTGTGTTCTGGCAGGCCTACAAGAACAGGAAAAAGCTTGCCATAGCTACAGTCACAAGGGCTTCTAGGAGGGCTAGCTGGAATAAGAGAGTTGCAGAACTTAAGTGATCACATACCTTTATCCCACACTATCACACCACAATATTTAGGCAACCTACTAATTTTCTTGGCATATATAGAAAGCAAACTTAACACATTTTCTTAAATACATGATGAATAGGCAGATGACACAGCTGCATGAGCATCAAGCCTTGAATGAGTTTTGAGCTTGTTAGCTGATTTCAGTCAATTTGGAAGAGGCAGTTCTTTCAAAAGAGAAAATCAGTAAGTAGGCATACAGACCCACACTACTGTCTACACTAAAGGCAGGCAGAACCTCACACCTTGGAATGGCCGTGGCTGAGGGTGCCTGTCCAGTTGGTGCCTGCATAGTTCCAGAACAGCCATTCCACGGTCATGCCAGCCTCTTCCTTAGCTGAGCAGATCACAGACATGAGAGCCAGCTCAGGTTATTTTAAAAGATTTTGAAGGGAAGCCAAGAGTACCACGTGTATATGCATGTGCACACGGATACATCTAGGGAACTTAATGGAGGTAAACCAAAGTATTCACAGTCAGGAATTATTTTGGTATACCGGACACAAACACACAGAGAAACAAGTATCAATAGCTGAGCTGCTGTTAATCAGCTTGGTGTGGTACCTGTTCTGGAAGTATCATCTTGTTCCTGTGACTCTCTGGATTTAGCTGGCCTTTGCAGAACAGTAACCTATAGAAACAAGATTAGATATCTGCGCTCAACATCTGACTTCTCCAAAGTTGCAGTGGTCAAGAAGAAACCTTAAAGAGTAAAATGAGATATCCAAAAGAATAGCATTACCTTACTTCTATCACAAGACAAGGAAGACATTCACAAGTGTAATGTCCATGTTGAAAAGTTTCCTTTATCATGGCTGAGTTTTGCCATTTCTGCCTCTATTTTTCACCGAAACAACTGGAAAGTAATCCTGCCTTTGCTGGCTTCATTAGGATGAAAATCAGCACCCTCAACAGGAAAAGGAGCATTTTGGGGACAGAGAGGAGAAGAGGAAGGTGAAGATGAAGATCATGTTATTTCCTTCTTTCATACTCCTCCTTGCCTTAGCAATACAGAGAAACACGAAGCTTGATTTATCAGCACATTCACTCAAGCTACTGAACAAGCCTGGAATAAAAGCTAACTGATAAAACTATTGAAACAACGCAACTGTTGAACTGAAACCCACTTAACAAAAACAGGAGGTGATGAGGGAGCAAGTTTAATCCCAATGCTTATCTTGAGGTCGATGCTATACAATAGGCCTAATTTTAGAGCTACCCTATATCAGGGAATTTTAAAGCTTCTGCAAGATTTTTGAACTGCTTGAGCAGTGCAGAGCAACCACAAACAATGCTGCATATTTCAGTCTTTTCCTGCACCTTATTCCAACATAAATCCTGTATTCCGTCATAGCCTCCGTCCAAATCATTCTTTCTCACGACTTTAAGTAGGTTCAACTACGCTGCACTTCATATGCACTGCCATTTAATCAGTTTGACGTTATTTCTGAAATACGCAATACAATATTGCCTAGAAGGGATGGCTCTTCTGCAGTCTCCTGCCCAGGCAACTGCTGCAGCAACCTCAACACTGCTTCGCTCTTTACTGAGGCCCTAAGAGATAGGCACTCTGAGACAGCTGATCTTCAAACACCGCACCTGGTAATCTTCTGCACTTCCTTTTTTTCTTTGTGATGTTCTCTCCAACTTCTCAATGACCATTTGCCAGATGGCTTCAGACTCCTATCTGACATTTAGGAGGCTGATCTGGAAGTATGTTTTGAAGGTAGAAGGGGACTGATGCTAAACAGACCTACTTCCAGCGTGCTTGTTCCTAGCTATCTGTCAGCAGCTATACTAAAACCTGATGTTGCTACAGAGCTACAGATCCCTCCCTCTACGGGCTCATTTAGCAACTTTTGACTTGCGGAACAGATCTGGTCTGTGGGCAGCTTCGGCGGTACAGATCTTCATGTTACAATCAAAAGCAAAGTTCTACAGAAAAATGGAACTTGCCTTATGTGGAGGCTCCTTGTGAAAATACGTAACTTCTCCTTTGTCTGTTCCCACTAAAGCCAGGAGATGTTGAATTTTTTTTCTATCCTCCAATTCCCTGGAATTCGAAGAAAGCGATCAGCACATTGCTATTTTTAAGTACATCAAGACTTTGTGACACACTGTCCTTCTAGTTTACTCATTAATGCTTACAAGTTTTCCAAACTGTTGCAGTTCTTGAGAATACTGCTTTAAAAACAAACTCCCCAAAACATTACTGATGTTGCCGATATAGGAACACTACCACCAATTCCACTGGCACTGGGGAGCATTCCTCTTTTCAAATACAACAATACTACATAGGCTGAATCAGCAATAGCACATGGTGGTAAAGAATTTGCATTCCAGAGTTATGAACTACCTAAAATCCTTTCAGATACTTGATCCGACAGATTCTAAGTACGCATTGTTTTTAAAGTAAACTATATTAAGGGCTGTATCAGACCTTTCAACACACTCTTGAGAAGTACCAAAGCACACCAGCACACATTTTGACTTAAGTTCTTAAAAACTTAACAGAAAACTTGATATCATCACCCATAAATGTTCTGAAGAAGGTTGGGAACTCCTTTGCCACTGGCAGCTAGTCTGGTATAGCAGGTTATATTCCAGTTCACCAACTAAATGGCATTAAAAAGCAGTGGCTGTCAATGTGATCTCATAGAGTGAGGGGAAACTATTTGCTTTGGTCCGTATTTTCTATTTGAGCTTAAGTGTTTTTAGGGCTGAGGGAGGAAGTTTTGCCAGACAGGTGCAAGGTCTGCGTATTGGGTTTGTGTGGCAAGGTTTTGGTAGCACGGGGGCTACAGGGGTGGCTTCTATGAGAAGATGCCAGAAGCTTCCCCCATGTCCGAGAGAGCCAATGCCAGCCGGCTCCAAGACAGACTCACCGCTGGCCAAGGCTGAGTCCATCAGCGACAGTGGTAGTAGCGTCTCTGTGATAACATATTTAAGAAGGGGAAAAAAAACCTGCTGCACAGCAGCAGCTGGAAGAGAGAGGAGTGAGAATATGTGAGAGAAACAACTCTGCAAACACCAAGGTCAGTGAAGAAGCAGGGGGAGGAGGTGCTCCAGGCACCGGAGCAGAGATACCCCTGCAGCCCATGGTGAAGACCATGGTGAGGCAGGCTGTCCCCTTGCAGCCCGTGGAGGTCCACAGTGGGGCAGATATCCACCTGCAGCCCGTGGAGGACCCCACGACGGAGCAGGTGGATGCCCAAAGGAGGCTGTGACCCCACGGGAAGCCCACACTGGAGCAGGCTCCTGGCAGGACCTGTGGACCCATGGAGACAAAGGAGCCCACGCTGGAGCAGGTTTGCTGGCAGGACTTGTGACCCTGTGGGGGACCCACGCTGGAGCAGTCTGTTCCTGAAGGACTGCACCCTATGGAAAGGGCCCACATTGGAGAAGTTCGTGGAGGACTGTCTCCCATGGGTGGGACCCCACCCCACGCTAGAGCAGGGGAAGAGAGTGAGGAGGAAGGAGTGGCAGAGACAACATGTAATGAACTGACCACAACCCCCCTTCTCTGTCCCCCTGTGCCACTCAGGGGGAGGAGGTAGAAAATTTGGGAGTGAAGTTGAGCCCAGGAAGAAGGGAGGGGTGGGGGGGAAGGTGTTTTAAGATTTGTTTTTATTTCTCATTATCCTACTCTGATTTGATTGGTAATAAATTAATTTCCCCAAGTTGAGTCTGTTTTGCTCATTACAGTAATTGGTGAGTGATCTCCCTGCCCTTATCACGACCCATGAGCCTTTCGTCTTATTTTTTCTCCCCCTCTCCAGCTGAGGAGGGGAGTGATAGAACAGGTTGGTGGGCACCTGGCATCCAACCGAGGTCAACCCACCACAGTCTGCTTAAATCAGAACCTCCACATTCAAACTGGTAACGCACAATTCAAGTCTGAATCTATGTTCAAGTTCTGCTCTTCCTTCTACTACCGATATAGGAAGAATAATACGTGGAAACACGTTTAGCAGCCCAACACATTGCATTCCACCTCCAAGACTGGTACGATTTCATAGGATACAATTTCACATTTCCCTCCCTGGGAAGTACGGCATAATTGCTTCTCTGAAGACTCCAGATCTGGATGAGAGCTAAAACATAATGCAATTGCTACTGCCAGTGACCCAGCCCACCATCTAAGGCAGCACACCTGATTTTCAGACGGTCATTCTCTGAGTAAAGACGAAGGACATGTTCCTTCTCCTGGAACAGGTAGACTTGCATATCACTCAAAGCCTTTTGCAACTCCGCAATCTCCTCTTCTCGCTGACGTACTTCCCATTGCAATTTGTGCTAGGTAGAGAGAATGAGGTGATTTAAATGATACAGAGCATTACAACACTTAAACTTCAAACTGCTTGTGCCCTGAGCCTGTAGCTGGTATAGAACAACTGCCAGTTCAAGTGAATTATTTTATTCTCTTACAAAATTTGACCAGATGAGGGCAGTATTGGAAAAATTATTAAAAACGTTTCAACAGGGAGTTCAGAGCCCTGAGAACCATTGTCACTATACAACAGTCAAATAAGGCCTAAGCTAGGGTCTCCAGTTTCCAGTGGTTGCACTTCTGCACTCGCAGAGTGGCACAGGTACGGGGAGTCTGACATCAACAAAAACCTTGCAAAGCCTCTATAGTAACACTTACTCTTAAAAGAAATTAACAGAAGAATAAACATTAAAATATCCATATGGCTTAGTAGTGAGAAATCTGGCTAGTTACTGTTTCATTAATGATTTTCTACCTGGCGTGGAAACTAGCAAACCTTTCAGAGAGCCATTCCCGTAGGAGAGAAGACGCTACTTTGGAACCTGTCCCTCTTTTTCCCATATGTTGAGTGACAGTAACTTGTACGCCACATATTTCTCGAGGGCCTTCAGGCTGCTTCAAGCATGGCCGGTACTTGAGGAGGCACTTCAGTCACCTCGGAAGTAATCGTTCTATTCCCAAAGGGACATTCACAATTACAAAGATGACTGCTAGACAGATGTACACTGTAAGGCATATCAGAGCACTGAACATCTTACAGATATTCTGTAAGATTCCTTCCTCTTAAAAGGCAAAGATTTTTAGCTTTTGGAGTTTCTTGTAAATTCGTATTTATTTGCTGTGTAATATACTGCTTAATAGCCTATGGCCAAGCTTATGAATTCCATTGCAGTAAATAAAAATTATATTCGTATCTCAAAGCCCATTAAATTTGGACAAAAGAGCACTCATTCTTCACTATGAGAAACAAGGGAAAGCAGTTGGACAACATGGGAATTGAACATCTAAACGCAGGCTTTAATTTTAAAAAAACAGAAACAAACAACCCACTGTGAAGATATAACCAAACTATAATAACTTAAGAATAGAAGAATATCTTACAGGCATGTTTGTTTGCTTTGACAGAGGACAGAGCTAGATTTTACAATCAAACCCTGAAATCTACTTATTTCTTCTTAGCTCAGTTCTACCACATTACTGCTAAATCTTAAGACCACCTGTGCTAAGTTTTCAACTGAAGAAAAACATTAAGTTTGTATAAGGATACGTCATTCATACATCATTCAAAAACTCTTTTCCTAACCTGCTCATCATATGTTTCTTTGTATTTCTCCAGCCTTTTTACCAAATCCTCATGTTCCTCATCAAAGTCAGCAATCTTCTTGCGGTAGTATTCCAGTAGCTCCCGGGAGGGACGGAGAAAGGCCAAGCGCTCATTGATTGAAGGGAGAGGAGTAAAGTCCTCCTGACTCGGAGAGTGAGAACTAGCATATCTGGATGAGACATGGGGGGTTGTCAGCCTGGACAGAAACAGTTTCTAATGACATGTGAGCTTCAGACAATTAAAAAAAAACAAAATCAAAACAACTTTCTAAAATAGTTAAAAATAAATTTTCAGTATTAACACAGGTTCAATTTCAAAGACAGATTAGCTTGTCTGTGCTCTGGGTATTAACAGGAGATCACAGCATTCAGGAGAGCCAAAAGCTTTGATACAGAACAGCTCGCAGGCTTACTATACTGGGGAGATGGCGTCAACTGATGGAAAAGGGAGAAAGAAAAATGTTACGGAAGGAAAGTCTCATAGGTTGTTTGGGGAGGGTGAACCTGAAAGGAAGAGGAAGAAAGAAAAGAAGGAGAGAATAAAGAGAACAAAAAGTCCATTGTTGTGCAATTAGAAGCAGCAGCTGTAAGATAAACAGGAAGACATAATCTGTGACACAATCACTACCCAATATCTAGAAGGAAAAACACTTTCTAAAGAAAGACTGTTGAATAACAACAATAATTCACATTAGCTGATGCACCAGCCACCACAATTTATGGTGTAGGTCTAGGAATCTACATGCTTCCCTTTCCGGTGCACTTGATGTTCTTATCCACATGGCTTGTCCACCCTTCATAGTGAAATAGAAGCTTCCAGGTTCTTGAATCTTATGTTGAGGTACTAGATGGAAAGCATGTCAATATTACATAAATCAAATCAAGAATATGTACATGAAATTACATATCTGATTTTTCTTTTAAGCAATGTTTACTGCATTCGAACACTGAATCTGCTCAAACAAGCACCAAATTTGCAAATAGAGCTGCACATAGTGTTCAAAATTCTCTTGGAAAGTGTTCTTTTCATTATTTATGTTAATCTGACAAACACCTGATACCACGAGTAACAGAATTAAAGCTAAAAAGCTTTTTTACTAAAGATCTGCTTAACAAAAACACAGTCCAGAATCTGAATCTGGAGCCAGTGCCAGAACTTTGACCATAAAGTGATCTGGCAGGCGACACCGAGGCAGCGGTGACCTTTATGGGCCAGCTCACCAAAGCTGCTTAGATCAGAACCCCAGTGTGCTAGATCCATGAAAACACGCCAAGCTCCTTAACTCCAGGCACTGTAGGAAAGTATTAAATATGCAATAATATGACTATTTAACGTAGGAACTTTCCCACCAGCTGTGCCCAGAAACACCTTAAACAACACACTTGGAAAAATAAGTAACAGCAACAGAAGAAAACAGGTAACATAGGCACAAGGTAAATACTTTATTACTGAACTAAAGGACAGTAGAAACAGAAAGCCGTAAGGATAAGGAAGCACAGCAGGTACAAGAGCGGACAAAACGGTGCCTTAGGTGAAGCCTGGCTACCGGACAGAAAGGGAAGAGCTGCGGGGCAGAGCCCGCGGAGCAGCGCCCGCGGAGCAGCTTCGGCGCGGGGCAACGACGGAGGCAGCCCCCACACTACCTTCTGGAGCGAGGGGAGGTCCCCGGAGAGCAGGCCGTCGCGCTCATGGGAAGGGCCGGCCTCACCGCGGGTAGGGGCCAGAAGCTTCGAGCCGGCCGCCTGCGGCCCCGGGTACCCCGGGAGGCTGGCGGAAAGACGAGCTAGAGCGCGGTGCAGGCCCCGCTGGGAACGGCCATAGCCGCGCGGAAAAGCCCCTGGGGCGGCGGGCTTGCCGAAGAAGCCAGGGACAAGCTCCCGAGGCAGCACGGGAGGGGGCTGGCACCACCCGCGCACGGCCCCCGCCGCCTCACGGCCCTCCACTGAGCGAGGCCCCCAACGGCTGAACAACCGCCACAACGCGCCCTCC